CCGCGGGGGAGAGAGGTTTGGCTCACCGAGAGGGGCCGGGGGGGGGGGGGCTGCAACTTACCTGGCTCCTTCTTGCTCCTCGTGGGCCAACTGAGGGCTGCTGGGAGCAGGGGGCAGGGCTTGTTGCATGTCCCCGCCCCCTGGGCTCCTTACTGCCGGAGCTCCGCTTCTGTGCGCTCCCGCAGGAAATGACCCCTGTACCCCAGACTGCCTTGTGCTGTGGCAGCAGCTGTTGCCAAAGTAGCGTATTTAAGAATCGGCCGAGCCGATCAGATCTCCGGCGCTCAGTCAGAAGTTCTGCTGGGAAAAAGCCCCCTCTGGCCCCTCCCACTTAAAAAAAACACACAGAGACAAGGTTGGTGGGTGCTACGGTACCCCAGGCACCCCATTGGGGACCCCTGGATAATACTGAGCCACACACCCTTCCAGTGCCAGGGCTGGAGTGGAGTGGAGGTTCCCTGGTTTATCTGCCCCCCCCCCCCCCCCGCCCGCCCTCTTTCAGGATGACCAGGCCTTGCAAAGCCGGGACGGAACCACGGGAACCCCCAATCCGAGCCGGCTTCGTTGGTCCTTGGATCCCAGCCGCCGCCTCTTCCCTTCCGCCCCCAGCCAAGAGGAATCTTTCCGAGAGGTGGCGAGGAAGAACGAAAAATTCCTGAAGCAGGTCTTCGGCAGCCCGAACCTTCAGGCCGTGCTGAGCCCGGAATGCAACCCCTGGAGCGCGGATATCAAGCCCCTCCTGCTCGACGAAGAGGCGCTCCGGAAAAGGTGAGCTCCCAGTTCCTGTGGCCACTGGGTGTTTGTGGTGGGGGGGGGGGAGGAACCCAGAAGTCCTTGGACTCTCCTCCTTCTAGATTGGGGTCCCCAGCTTTTTGGGGCCCACAGACACCTTCGGGGTTCAGAACCGCCCTTCTCCCGGATTGGGGAAAAGACTGGGCTGCAGTCTGGTGTCGTGGTTGAGTGCGCAGACTGTAATCTGGGAGAACTGGGTTTGATTTCCCCACTCCTCCACACGCAGCTAGCTGGGTGACCTTGGGTCAGTCACAAGTTCTCTCAGAGCCGTTCTCTCGAGGACAGTCCTGGAAATAGCTCTCTCTGCCCCCGCCTACTTCACAGGGTGTCTGTTGTGGGGAGGGGGAGGGAAAGGGGTTTATGAGCCGCTCTGAGACTCCGAGTGAAGGGTGGGGTATAAATCCAATCTCTTCTTCTTCTTTTACCTCGCAGGGTGTGTGTTGTGGGGAGGGGAAGGGAAAGGACTTTGTAAGCCGCTCTGAAACTCCTTTGGGTAGTGAAGGGCAGGGTATAACCCAATATCTTCTCTTCTTCTTCTTCTTTTACCTCACAGGGTGCCTGCTGTGGGGAGGGGAAGGGGAAGAAGTTTGTAAGCCGCTCTGAGACTCCTTTGGGTAGTGAAGGGCGGAGTATAAATCCAATCTCTTCTTCTTCTTTTACCTCACAGAGTGTCTGTTGTGGGGAGGGGGAGGGAAAAGAGTTTGTAAGCCACTCTGAGACTCCTTCGGGTAGTGAAGGGCAGGGTATAAATCCAATCTCTTCTTCTTCTTCTTTTACCTCACAGGGTGTGTGTTGTGGGGAGGGGAAGGGGAAGGAGTTTGTAAGCCGCTCTGAGACTCCTTTGGGTAGTGAAGGGCGGAGTATAAATCCAATCTCTTCTGCTTCTTTTACCTCACAGGGTGTCTGTTGTGGGGAGGGGAAGGGAAAGGAGTTTGTAAGCCGCTCTGAGACTCCGAGTGAAGGTTGGGGTATAAATCCAATCTCCTCCTCCTCCTCTTCTTCTTCTTGCCGGATGGTGGACACAGTCCCAAAATGGCAGCCATGAAATGGCTGATGCAGGATAACGGGGTCAATCACAGAAGGTCAGGGAGTGAGGTCATGCTAAACTCCAGCCGTAACTTCAACATTTCAGGCAGAAGATCTGCTTAGCGGGACACCTGTATAAATGAACGTGCTGCTTACAAATGTTTTCTGGCTTACACGCAGCTCATCCTTGTGCTGTGGAGATCCTTGTGCTGTGGTGGCACCTGCTGTCAAAGCAGTGTTTTTAAAAAACTTCACAGCCAATCAAATCTCCCGGAGCCAATCAGAAGCCTTGCTGGGCAAAAGAGAAGAGAGATTGGATTTATACCCCGCCCTTCACTACCCGAAAGAGTCTCAGAGCGGTTTACAATCTCCTTCCCCTCCCCTCCAGACACCCTGAGAGGTAGGTGGGGCTGAGAGAGCTCTTTCAAGGACTGCTCCTGAGAGCACAGCTGTGAGAGAACTTGTGACTGACCCAAGGTCACACCAGCAGCTGCATGTGGAGAAGTGGGGGATCAAACCCAGTTCTCCCTAGAGTCCGCGCTCCTAACCAGTATGCTAAACTGGCTCTCAAAAAGCCCCATCTGGCCCCAAACTCTTTCTAAAATGCTTGGTGGTTGCCAGGAAAGGAGTTGGAGGTTGTTGTGGTGCCTGAGACCCCTGTAGATGCAGAAGGACAGGGAAGAACTTGACTCACCATAGGCCAAGTCGAGGACAAAGACCCAGATATGGTGGCTCGGAGTCCTGGCCCCTGCTTTCCAAATCAGGGTCAAATTCAGGGTCCTGATACCAATTCCTCCCTCCCCCGTCTGTTAAGGTCCCACCTGCCAGTGGCCTCCCATGAGAGAACTCTGTTGGAGGTCTCAAAGGAGCTGGAGGAGACGACCGCTGCATTGCAAGACCTAAGAGCACAGGTAAGGATTCCTGAAACTCAGGGAAGCAGCTGGATCCTTGGTAGTCCTAATCATGTAGCTGCCTGATTTTGAATCAGACCTTCTTGTTCCATCAAGGTCAGTATTGTCTACTCAGACTGGCAGCAGCTCTCCAGGGTCTCAGGCAGAGCCAGGGCCTCAGGTCAAGGTCTTTCCCATCACCTCTTGCCTGGCCCTTTTAACTGGAGATGCTGGAGATTGATCCTGGGACCTTCTGTCTGCCAAGCAGAGGCTCTGCCACTGAGCCAGGGTCTCAGGCCAAGGTCTTTCCCATCACCTCCTGCCAGGTCCTTTTAACTGGAGATGCCAGGGACTGAACCTGGGACCTTCTGCATGCCAAGCAGAGGCTCTGCCTCTGAGCCAGGGTCTCAGGTCAAGGTCTTTCCATCCCCTCCTGCCTGGCCCTTTTAACTGGAGATGCCGGGGATTGATCCTGGGACCTTCTGCCTGCCAAGCAGAGGCTCTGCCACTGAGCCAGGGTCTCAGGTCAAGGTCTTTCTCGTCCCCTCCTGCCTGGTCCTTTTAACTGGAGATGCCGGGGATTGAATCTGGGACCTCCTGCATGCCAAGCAGAGGCTCTGCCACTGAGCCAGGGTCTCAGGTCAAGGTCTTTCCCATCCCCTCCTGCCTGGCCCTTTTAACTGGAGATGCCGGGGATTGAACCTGGGACCTTCTGCCTGCCAAGCAGAGGCTCTGCCACTGAGCCAGGGTCTCAGGTCAAGGTCTTTCCCATCCCCTCCTGCCTGGTCCTTTTAACTGGAGATGCCGGGGATTGAACCTGTGACCTTCTGCATACCAAGCAGAGGTTCTGCCAGAGAGAAGCCATTGGCCGTTCTCAAGACGGCAGGAGGGAGAGAGGGCAGTAAAACGGAGACTCGGTGGTCACACCGACTAAGTAGACTACGGCCAGGGCACTAAGTTCTCCGGCTAAGGGGGGGAGGGGGGCCCCCCGGGGGGGGGGGGGGACCAGCCTCAACAGTGGCAGTTCCTTGCCCAGCAGTGGAGGAGGAGCATAGCCGCAGCTTTCCTCAACCGCAACCGTTTCATCTTTGCAGTGCTCCTTCGTGCGTGGGAGCCCGGCCGGTGCCGAACAGCCGCTTGACAGCGCGACGGCGCTGCAGACCCTCAAGCTGGCAGCCTCCGACTTCGGCCAGCTGCTGGTAGCCTTCGAGCAGGTGTACGAGAACGAGCTGCGGAAGCACTGCAAGCGCCCCGCGCCCCAGCTGAACCCCTGCGGCCCCCTCTTCAAAGCCGTGCAGCAGGATCTTTCGCTCTGCTTGCAGGTCAGTGGGGAAGGGGAAGGCATGCAGGATTCGGGGGGGGGGATTTGGGTAATTGTTTTGTTGATGTTACGTACAGTCCGCCTTTCTCACTTTGTCTTGAGGCGGATGATGCAGAATGAGTCACTACAGTTGACGGGGTGGGGAATTCATTAAGCAATGCAATAGGATTAGGGCTGCAGAACCAGCCAGAAGTTTATAAAATGGTGCCTGGGGTGGAGAGAGTTGACAGAGGGAAATTATTCCTCCCTCTCCCAAAAGAGCAGAGCCCGAGGGGACCCAGTGAAGTTGATGGGAAGTAAGTTCAGTGCAGAGAAAAGGAAATACCACTTGACACAGAGAGTGATTAAAATGTGGGATTTGCTGCCAGGGGATGTAGCGATGGCCACAGGCATAGACAGCTTTGAAAGGGGATTAGATAGATTCATGGAGGATCAGTCTGTCAATGGCTGCTAGCCATGGTGGCTGAGGGGAACCTCCACTTTCTGAGGCAGTCAGCCTCTGAATCCCAGAGTCTGGAGGCAACATCAGGGGAAGGCCTCGGCCTCTCTGCCCTGTTGCTGGCCCTCCAGAGGGACTGGCTGGCCCCTGAGTGAGTCGGGAGGCTGGACTAGAGGGACCCTCCCTGGTCTGACCCAGCAGGGCTCTTCTTCTCAGGGGAAGGCCTCGGCCTCTCTGCCCTGTTGCTGGCCCTCCAGAGGGACTGGCTGGCCCCTGTGTGAGACGGGAGGCTGGACTAGAGGGACCCTCCCTGGTCTGACCCAGCAGGGCTCTTCTGAGGTTCTTCTCAGGGGAAGGCCTCAGCCTTTGTGCCCTGTTGCTGGCCCTCCAGAGGGACTGGCTGGCCCCTGTGTGAGGCGGGCGGCTGGACTAGAGGGACCCTCCCTGGTCTGACCCAGCAGGGCTCTTCTGATGCTCTTCTCAGGGGAAGGCCTCTGCCTCTCTGCCCTGTTGCTGGCCCTCCAGAGGGACTGGCTGGCCCCTGTGTGAGACGGGATGCTGGACTAGATGGACCCTCACTGGTCTGACCCAACAGGGCTCTTCTGATGTTCATGCCCTCTTGTTGACCCTCCAGGGGAACTAGTTGGCTACTGTGAGAATGAACCCCATGTGTCCCTAGTGCTGGTGTACACAAGTAACCAAACCCTTCTTTATTTTTTAAAACTTTATGAAGTTTTTTTTTCAATTTCTGTCAAAACAAAAGGTTTAATCCACAGGCAACACAACACTCTAAAACCATGCAGCAGAAAAAACAAGAAAACCAGCTTAACTATCTGACACGTTTCCAAGACCTGCGTTAGATAGCACAAACCTTTAGTCCAAGAGTCAGAGGCCACACCTTATGTGTTCTCTATGTTGCTGTCTATTGTAATACAAGCATGGCATAGTCCAGGCCTTCAGTCCATCAGAATCCAAGTTAGCACTGTTTCTCCACATCGTGTTTGGTGTAGTGGTTAGGAGCGCGGACTCCCATCTGGGAAAACCAGGTTTGATTTCCCATTCCTCCACGTGCAGCTGCTGGTGTGACCCTGGGTCAGTCAAAAGTTCTCTCAGCGCAGTTCTTGAAAGAGCTCTCTCAGCCCCACCTACCTCACAGGTTGTCTATTGTGGGGAAGGGAAAGGAGGTTTTAAGCCACTCTGAGACTCCTTCCGGTAGTGAAGGGAGGGGAACAAATCCAATCTCTTCTTCTTTTTCTTTGCTCAATTGTAGTTTTTCGGCTAAGCAGCATCAGGTGATGAAGACACCAAATAAAGACACATTCTTGCTGGAACCCTCTAGAAGACTACCTCATCACTCTTGATTCCCCCCCTCCCACCTGAGACGCTAATTACCACATTCCCAGCTCTGGCCTTGAGGATGATAAGGGCTGTGTGGGCAGAGAGACTAATTAGCAACACCTGCGGGATGGAACGAGTTCATTACCATTCACATTAACCCCGTGAGGGGTGCTTTGCCTCACACTCCTTTAGAGGCTAAAACAGACAGAAGGTCAGGGTCCGTTATATGGAACAGAAGGTTCAACCACTCCGTGAAGAAGCATAATTCACTCTGCCCTCTGTTTCTAGTTCATCCTCCATTCCTAAGAGGGACATAAGGAAAACAGACCTTATACACTTTCCCTGAAAGATAAGAATGGCACCAGCCCTTGACTGGGATATTGTTGCTAAGAGATCAGCAGGTCAAATAATAGATTTACAGTGGGGGTGTTAGGGAGGAACATAACATCTTCTAAATGTGTCAAGTCAACGTAGGCCCACAATTTAGAGACTATTAAAAGAATCTCAGTCTTGCCTGACAGTGTAACTTTCATGACACATGTGAAAATCCTTAACAGAAAACACAGGGAAATCCCTCCGTATTTATCCTTCCTGAGACAGATTTCTTCCTGATTCTAGCACAGTTCACGGCAGGCTTTTCCATAAGAACATAAGAGAAGCCATGTTGGATCAGCCAAAGGCCCCTCCAGCCCAACACTCTGTGTCGCACAGTGGACAAAACCCAGGGGCCATCAAGAGGTCCACCAGTGGGGCCAGAACTCCAGAAGCCCTCCCACTGTTTCCCCCCCAAGCACCAAGAAGACAGAGCGTCACTGCCCCAGACGTAAGCACGTAAGAGACACCATGTTGGATCAGGCCAATGGCCCATCCAGTCCAACGCTCTGTGTCACACGGTGGCCAAAAATACCAGGCGCCCTCAGGAGGCCCTCCAGCAGGGCCAGAACTCCAGCAGCCCTCTCACTCTTGGCCCCCCAAGCTCCAAGAATACAGACATCACTGCCCCAGACATAAGAACATAAGAGAAGCCATGTTGGATCAGGCCAATGGCCCATCCAGTCCAACGCTCTGTGTCACACGGTGGCCAAAAATACCAGGCGCCCTCAGGAGGCCCTCCAGCAGGGCCAGAACTCCAGAAGCCCTCCCACTATTGCCCCCCCAAGCACCAAGAAGACAGAGCATCACTGCCCCAGATAGAGAGTTCCACCTATACCTTGTGGCTAACAGCCACCAATGGACCTCTGCTCCATATGTTTATCCAGTCCCCTCTTTAACCTGTCTATGCTTGTAGCCATCACCTCCTGTGGCATTGAATTCCACATGTTAATAACACTTGGGGTGAAGAAGGACTTCCTTCGATGTGTCCTAAGTCTACTCCTCATTCATTTCATTGAGTGCCCATGAATTCTTGTCTTGTGGGAAAGGGAGAAAAGTGCTTTTTTCTCTGCATTCTCTGTCCCATGCATAAACTTGTAAACCTCGATCATGTCACCCCTCAGTCATGGTTTCCCCAAGCTAAAGAACTGTAACCTCTTCAGCCTTTCCTCATGGGGCCTTGTCCAGAGCCCGAGGTAGTTGGAGGCAGCCGGGCACTTTGGTTTGTGGGCGACGAAGCGACTGAGCTGCCTTCTGTCCTGTGTGTTTCGTCAACCAGGAGTTGACAAGCCTGGCCCAGGTCACGGAAACGTCGGAGAACATCGCGGGTATGGTGGACCGGAAGCACGAAGAGAAGCTGGTATGGAGGGGCTCCGTGAAAGCCACGTTGCGTAAGTGCCACAACTTGAGGACTTGTGGGAGTATCCATGTGTGTATCAAGTGCTGTCAGGCCGCAGCCGACGTATTGCCACCCAGAAGTATTTCCAAGGCAAGAGACAAGCAGTGTTGGTTAGCCCTCGCCTGCCTCTGCGTAGCAACCCTGGACTTTGTTGGTGGTCTCCCATCCAAGTAATAACTGGGGCCAACCCTGCTCAGCTTCTGAGCTTTGATGAGATTGGGCTATCCTGGGCCATCCACGTCAAGGCAAAAGATGAACAGAGGTGCTCTGCCATCGCCTGCCTCTGCGTAGCAATCTTGGACTTCCTTGGTGGTCTCCCATCCAAGTAGTAACCAGGGCTGACACTGATTAGCTCCTGGGATATGCTGAGATCGGGCTAGCCTGGGCCATCCAGGTCAGGGCAAAAGATGGACTGAGGTGGGTTTGCCCTTGCCTGCCTCTGCGTAGCAACCCTGGACTCCTTTGGTGGTCTCCCATCCAAGTACTAACCGGGGCTGACCCTGCTTAGCTTCCGAGATCTGATGAGATCGGGCTAGCGTGGGCAATCCGGGTCAAGGCAAGAGGCGATCAGAGGTGGGTTTGCCCTTGCCTGCCTCTGCGTAGCAACCCTGGACTTCCCTGGCGGTCTCCCATCCAAGTACTAGCCAGGGCTGACCCTGCTTAGCTTCCGAGATCTGATGAGATCGGGCTAGCGTGGGCAATCCGGGTCAAGGCAAGAGGCGATCAAAGGTGGGTTTGCCCTTGCCTGCCTCTGCATAGGAACCCTGGACTTCCCTGGCGGTCTCCCATCCAAGTACTAGCCAGGGCTGACCCTGCTTAGCTTCCGAGATCTGATGAGATCAGGCTAGCCTAGGCCATCCAGGTCAAGGCATTGGGTACTATACCCACCAGCACAGCCCACAGTCCCTCCCTATCACTCTACCAAAGTATATTTCTGAACCATTTCCTTACAGTACAACCCTATTCTGTATGTGCAAAGTGTGGTCAAGTCGCACCCAACTTACAGCAACCCCCAAAGCGTTTTCAAGGCCAGAGACTAACATGGAGGTGGAGAGAGCTGACACAGGGAACTCCCAAAATTCTAGAACTCGAGGGCGTCCAATAAAGCTGATGGGCCGTAGGTTCAGGACGGACAAGAGGAAATACTGCTTTACACGGGGCGTGATTAGAAGGTGGGATTTGCTGCCAGAGGATGTGGCGATGGCCGCAGGACAAAACAGCTTAAAAGGGCGTTCAGGCGCACACGAAAGCTGATACCTTGAATAAAACTTTGTTGGGTCCTAAAGGTGCCACCGAGCTTAAAAGGGGATTAGACAGATTCATGGAGGATCAGTTGTCATTTTGCCATCGCCTCCCTCTGCGTAGCCACCAACGGTGGTCTCCCATCCACTTTCTGACCAGGGCAAATTGTGCGTAGCTTCTGAGATCTGATGAGACTGGGCTAGTTGGGGCCGTCTACGTTAGGGCAGAGATGAGCAGAGGTGGCTTGCCCTTGCCTGCCTCTACGTAGCGATCCTGGACTCCCTCGGTGGTCTCCCATCCAAATACTAACCGGGGCTGACCCTGCTTAGCTTCCTGGCACTGACTAGATCAGGCCAACCTGCGCCATCACGGGAGAGACGGAGCTCCCAGTTCTGGGGGTACCCAGGCTCAAAGGCATATTGGTTCTCTAGCAGCAATGTAGAGGGAAAGGGGGGCTCAGTGAGGAGACGTGGCGGGGGGCACGTGGCTCAGTGGTAGAGCTTTTCCTGCAGAAGGTTCCAGTCTGGGCCTTTGAGTTCTGCACCCTCAGGACCTCTGGTGCCAGGTGCTGTGGAAGACCTGTGCCCCCCCCCCTCCTGAGGGCACCTGGTATTCTTGGCCGCTGTGTGACACAGAGCGTTGGACTGGATGGGCCACTGGCCTGATCCAACATTGGCGTCTCTTATGTTCTTATAAGAGGGGATTGGATAAACATCTGAAGCAGAGGTCCATCAGTGGCTCCCACAAGGTATAGAGAGGATCTCTCAGTCTGGGGCAAGGGATGCTCTGTATTCTTGGTGCTTGGGGGTGGGGGGAAACAGTGGGAGGGCTTTTAGTGTCCTGGCCCCACTGCTGGACCTCCTGTTGGCACCTGGTATGTTTGGCCACTGTGTGACACAGAAGAGTGTTCGACTGGATGGGCCATTGACCCTAATCCAACATTGGCTTCTCTTAGGTTCTTATGTTCTTAAAGGCTGGCAGAGTAGAGAATCTTGACCTTGATGGACCAGTGGTCAAATGGGGAATAAGATAGGTCTTTCTTTCTTTCTTTCTTGGCTGCCTCTTCTGTAACTATAGTCCTTTCCCTCCCCCAGCTTCAAAGCTTGAAGAGCTGCAACAGAAATACAAGGCCATCCACGCCACGCTTCACAAACTGCCGGCGATCCTGAGCAACGCAGAGGCGACCATCTCGCTGTGAAAGGGAGGCTAGACCCAGATGGTGGAAACCCTGCTTGTGCGCGTGTGTGTCTCCCCCACCCCCAGTACATAAATTAATATAAAAGAAAGAGCTTCTTTTTACTTTCCCGGTGTGTCCTCTCTGGTGGGGGTAGAAAGTGCCATTAAATCGTAGGCGATGTCATGTGACCCATGTAAGGTTTTCAAGGCACGAGATGAGCTGTGCTGCCGTGCCACTGCCTGCTTCTGTACTGACCTCGGACTCCCACAGTGGTCTCCCAACCCGGAAAAATATATACCGCAGGTTAGGAAAGGCACAAATAGGTATAGAAAAAGGCCTGCGTGAAAGTAATGGAAGCTGTAAAAGGTAAGAAGGATTCCTTTAAGCAGTGGAAAGCTAGTCTCAGTGAGGCTGATAAAACGGAACACAGGCTATGGCAAATAAAATGCAAGTCTGTGGTCAGGCAGGCAAAAAGGGAATATGAGGAGCAAAGTAATAGAAGAAAACAATAGAATGGGAAGGACTAGAGATCTCTTCAAGAAAATTGGAGAAATCAAGGGAGCGTTCCATGCAAAGCTGGCCATGATAAAGGACAAAAACGGTAGGGACCTAACAGAAGCAGAAGAGATTAGGAAAAGATGGCAAGAATACACAGAAGAACTATACAAGAAAGACCTCGATGTCCTTGACAACCACGACGGTATAATCACTGACCTCGAGCCAGACATCCTGGAATGTGAAGTTAAATGGGCCTTAGAAAGCATTACTAACAACAAAGCTAGTGGAGGTGATGGTATTCCAGCTGAGCTATTCAAAGTCTTAGAAGAGGATGCTGTTAAAGTTCTGCACTCCATTTGCCAGCAAATTTGGAAAACGCAACAGTGGCCACAGGATTGGAAAAGATCAGTATACATTCCAATCCCAAAGAAGGGCAATGCCAAGGAATGTTCAAACTATCGCACAATTGCACTCATATCACACGCTAGCAAGGTCATGCTCAAGATCCTACAAGCTAGGCTTCAACAGTACATGGATAGAGAACTGCCAGAAGTACAAGCTGGGTTTCGAAGAGGTAGAGGAACGAGAGATCATATTGCCAACATTCGCTGGATTATGGAGAAAGCAAGAGAGTACCAGAAAAACATCTACTGACACTGTCTAACCATCTCATCCTTTGCCGTCCCCGTCTTCTTTGACCTTCAATCTTTCCCAGCATCAGGGTTTTCTCCAGTGAGTGCAAACATGTCTTTCAAATGCCGGGAAAGATGCCTGGCTTTAAAGTTTGATGCGAACGTATCAAGCAAGCTAGTACTGTGAAAGGGTCATTATGGCTCCTGATTCTGCCACTTTCTCCAGATACTTGGTGACATATCTCTGCAGGTCTGCTATTGGTTCACTGACTTCAGCCTTTGAGAAGTTCCTGGTGGTGATGCACTGTGCTAAAACTGATGCTGCTTTTGGAAGAGCAGTTCTTCAGAGCCTGTTTCTTCAAGACGACCTGCAGATAACATCAGGTACATGGCTCCCTAGTCATCAAATCACCGCAGACTGTGACTGCAGCCATGAAATTAAAAGACGCCTGCTCCTTGGGAGGAAAGCGATGGCGAACCTAAACAGCATGATAAAAAGTAGAGACATCACCCTGCCAACAAAAGTCCGCATGGTCAAAGCAATGGTATTCCCAGTAGTCATGTATGGCTGTGAGAGTTGGACTATAAGGAAGGCCGAGCGCCGAAGAATAGATTCTTTTGAACTATGGTGCTGGAGGAGACTCTTGAGAGTCCCTTGGACTGCAAGAAGAACAAATCAGTCAATCCTCAAAGAAATCAACCCTGACTGTTCCCTGGAAGGCCAGATAATGAAACTGAAGCTCAAATACTTTGGCCACCAAATGAGAAGGGAGCACTCACTGGAGAAGACCCTGATGCTTGGAAAGATTGAAGGTCAAAGAAGACGGGGACGGCAAAGGATGAGATGGTTAGACAGTGTCATCGATGCAACGAACATGAAGTTGAGCCAACTTCAGAGGACGGCAGAAGACCGGAAGGCCTGGAGAGAGCTCGTCCATGGGGTCGCGAAGAGTCGGACTCGACTGTGCGACTGAACAACAACATAGCAAAAAACGTAAAGACCAACAATAAAACTTTCTTCAAGTACATTAGAAGCAGGAAACCAGCCAGGGAGGCAGTGGGGCCCTTGGATGACCAAGAGGTAAAAAGGAGTAGTGAAATATGATAGGGAAATGGCTGAGAAGCTGAATGCATTTTTTGCCTCTGTCTTCACTGTGGAAGATGAGAAGTGCTTGCCCACTCCAGAACCGCTGATTTTGGGAGGGGTGTTGAAAGACCCGAGTCAGATTGAGGTGATGAGAGAGGAGGTCCTACGACTGACAGACAACTTAAAAACTGATAAATCACCAGGCCTGGACAGCATACATCCGAGAGTTCTGAAAGAACTCAGATGTGGACTTGTGGATCTGACAAAAATATGTAATCTTTCCTTAAAATCTGCCTCCATTCCTGAGGACTGGAAGGTAGCCAATGCCACTCCCATCTTTAAAAAGGGTTCCAGAGGAGATCCGGGAAATCACAAGCCAGTCAGTCTGATGTCGATACCGGGTAAACTGGTAGAAACCATTTTTAAGGAAAGAATTCGTAGGCACATAGATGAACAAAACCTATTGAGGCAGACTCAGCATGGGTTCTGTAAGGGATCTTGTCTCACTAACCTGTTCGTGTTCTTTGAGGGGGTGAACAAACATGTGGACAAAGTGGACCCAATAGATGTTGTTTGCCTTGACTTCCAGAAAGCTTTTGATAAAGTTCCTCATCAAAGGCTCCTAAGTAAGCTCAATAGTCATGGGATAAAAGGACAAGTCCTCTCGTGGATCAAAAACTGGCTAATTAATAGGAAACAGAAAGTAAGTATGAATGGGCAATTCTCTCAGTGGAGGATGGTAAGCAGTGGGGTACCACAGGGATCAGTACTGGGTCCGATGCTTTTTAATTTGTTCATTAATGATTTGGAGTTGGGAGTAAGCAGTGAAGTGGCTAAATTTGCGGATGACACGAAGTTGTTCAGGGCGGTGAAAGCCAGGGAGGATTGTGAGGCACTCCAAGGGGATCTGTCGAGGTTGGGTGAGTGGGCGTCAACATGGCAAATGGAGTTCAGGACTGCAAAGTTCTAAGAACAGACGTGTCCTCCTTTTCAAAAGTGAACTTTGTTTCATCTGTCTCAGGTACTAGCAGTGTCATCCTTCTGCTATCATGTGAAACGTCCACGGGAGAAGAAAGGGCATAAACCTGATGACGGTAGAGCCCTAACCCGGGTTCAAATCCTCACTTCACCTTGGGAGCTTGCTGGGTGACAGTTGCCCAGTCAGAACAAATTCAGAGTCCAGTGGCCTTCCTTATGGTCCAACTCTCATAGCCATACATTGTTGTTGTTCATTCGCACAGTCGAGTCCGACTCTTCGCGACCCCATGGACCAGATCACGCCAGGCCTTCCTGTCTGAACTGGGGTCTGAACTGGCAGAGACTGATCAAGAGAGAGATCTTGGAGTTGTAGTGGATAACTCACTGAAAATGTCGAGACAGTGTGTGACTGCAATAAAGAAGGCCAATGCTATGCTGGGGATTATTAGGAAGGGTATTGAAAACAGATCAGCCAATATCATAATGCCCCTATATAAATCAATGGTGAGACCTCATTTGGAATACTGTGTGCAGTTCTGGTCACCACACCTTAAAAAGGATATTATAGCTTTGGAAAAAGCGCAGAAAAGGGCAACTCGAATGATAAAAGGGTTGGAACACTTTCCCTATGAGGAAAGGTTAAGGCGCTTAGGGCTCTTTAGCTTGGAGAAACGACGACTGAGGGGTGACATGATCGAGGTTTATAAGATTATGCATGGGAAAGAGCAGGTAGAGAAAGGTACTTTTCTCCCTTTCTCACAATACAAGAACTCGTGGGCACTCCATGAAACTGCAGAGTGGTCGGGTTAGAACGGATAAAAGGAAGTACTTCTTCACCCAAAGAGTGATTAACACATGGAATTCACTGCCACAGGAAGTGGTGGCGGCTACAAGCATGGACGGCTTCAAAAGGGAATTAGATAAGCCTATGGAGCAAAGGTCCATCAGTGGATATTAGCCACAAGTTATAGATAGGGGCTCTGGGGCAAGTGATGCTCTGTCTTCTTGGTGCTTGGGGGGGTCAACAGTGGGAGGGCTTCTAATGTCCTGGCCCCACTGCTGGACCTCCTGATGGCACTGGTATTTCTGGCCACTGTGTGACACAGAGTGTTGGACTGGATGGGCCTTTGGCCTGATCCAACATTGGCGTCTCTTATGTTCTTCCGCCGTCCTCTGAAGTTGGCTCAATTTCATGTTTGTTGCATCTATGACACTGTCATAGATGACATTGGATCTATGACATACATGACTACTGGGAATACCATTGCTTTGACCATGCGGACTTTGGTTGGCAGGGTGATGTCTCTACTTTTTATCATGCTGTCAAGGTTCGCCATCGCTTTCCTCCCAAGGAGCAGGCGTCTTAATTTCATGGCTGCTGTCACAGTCTGCGGTGATCTGGGATCCCAGGAACGTGAAGTCTGTCACTACTTCCACGACTTCGCCTTCTATTTGCCAAGGAGTGATGGGGCAAGATGCCATGATCTTAGCTTTTTTGATGTTGAGTTTCAAGCCAACTTTTGCGCTCTCCTCTCACCCTCAGCAAGAGGCTCCTGTGGTCAGAGGCTCCCTAGATCAGGGGTGGCCAAACTGTGGCTCAGGGGCCACATGTGGCTTTCTCACACATATTGTGTGGCTGCCGGCACGCTACCCATCTATTTGCTTTTTTTGTTTCTCTCTCTCTCTCTCCCTTCTTTCCTCCCCCTCCCTCATCTATTTGCTTTCTTTATCTCTCTCTCTCTTTCCACCTCTTTCATTCTGTCTTTCCACCTCTCTCGCTTTCTCTCTCTCAGACAAATAAATATCATTAGCAAACAAATATCATTGTAACTATCTGCTTTTACCCCTTTAGTTTCTATTTTTTGGCAGTCTCATTTAATGTTCATAAAAACGGGTGTGTAATGTTTGTTCATTCCTTGCGGCTCTCAAACGTCTGATGTTAATGCTGTGTGGCTCTTGCGTTAAGCAAGTTTGGC